ATCGTGTCAGCTGATACCTTCTGGGGGGGCTTCTTTTTTTCTTTTGTCCTTTCATCCACTATCTGATAGTATCACCTGTATTTGCCTTTACCGTGGTTCTATCGAGATGCTAGTCTTACTGAGGTGGTCACAATGAATCAGATCTCCTATATCGGCCCTTCGGAGATAAGCCACAGTCCCAATGGGTCACTCCCAGTCCCTTTCTACAGTCTACATATGAGTCATGAATGGGATTCACTGCAAACAGAATCACGTATCACTACCAGGGACGTCGTACGATCAATAAATACAATTCTTTATAACAAGATATAGTCTGGAGATACAATGTTACTGAAGCTCGTCATGTGCGTCCAGGTGTGAGGTGACATGACATGATGTGGCGCATGGGTTAGCTGTTCCTGACTCAAAAACATCTTCAATGGCTTTCTCAATCCGCAACATTCACATGCTTTTTGGGATCAATCGATAAGCAGAAAAGGAAAAACAAGGAAGTGGACACGTCTCGTGTTTTTGGTGGTCTGCATCTCACTATTCAACGTATCTTGGCTGCTCCAGCTCATGGCAGCCCCGTAGACCTCCATGCGAGAGACAAGACATCACTCCACACTGTAGGACATAAGACACAAGCCTTGCTTTGTGATTCGTGCACTGCTGCAAGCCGCTACAATTTAAGAGTCAAAGCCGTCCGGGCTCCACTCATGCTCGAAGCACGTCCAATGCTGCCGCTGCTGCTGCTGTCAGAGAGCTAGCTTCCTGCTTGTCCAATGTCAAGAGCTCCCATTCCCCCGGGGCACGGAGCCAGCCATTCGACCCACCGCGTGCTGCTGCTCCGTACCGAGACAGCTGAACTGCGGTGGCAAACACACACCGTCCCAATGCGAGCACCGGTATATCCTCATATGAAAGCCATTCATCGAGCAAAGAAACCCGTCTGCCTGGGGGCTCAGCCCTCGATTGCGCATTACATACCCCCCAGTACCGCCGCGTAATCCACTCGAAGCCTGCAGGCAGGCTTTCCAGGAAGGGGAAGAATCCCGATCGTATTCGATACTACGAGTATTCTACTAAGTATTAAGGTATCTAGCCCTGACTGGATAGTGCACAGTGCTGGTCTGGACAATGGGGGGAAGGGTGATGGGACCCGGCGGGTCTGGAGAACGGGTACCAGTGGTGGGCGGGACATACCACCGGGTCTTGCTCTCTCTTTCTCTCTGGGGAAAAGAGAGCCCGTGAGTAGTAGCTACAGTGGTTAGTGTAGGTACGGTAGATGGTCCAACATAGCGGCCGCAAGCCACAAAACCTAGCCGAGCCCTTTCCTCCCCTCCCCTCCCCCAAGTTGGGGATTTTGCACGAGAGTCTAAAAGTTGATATCAAAAAGTATAAATCAGAATGAGCCCACGTTGCCGGACATATGAGCCGGAAACGCAAAGCAAAAGTCAAAAATCCCAGAGCACCGGATAAGTTCCCATGCGCATGCGCATTTGTTTTGCGACAGCGACAAGAAAACTCAAACTGCCTGAAAGAGAATAAAAAACTCAGAACTACAAAACAGTAACAATACAAACTGGAAATTTCCATCAAGGAGGGCATGCATGCCCCTGGAGGGACTATGTTAAAAAAATTCTTATTGGTGCGGAATTATCATCAGAGTCAGCACCTTATACTCATCGGGTTGGCAAACTCTTCCCTTTCACACCACTTCCCCCCCCTGCCTGCCACATGTTCCTTTGTCCCGTTTCGACATTAGTTCGCGCACCCAGTAGGGCGAACGGACACTACACTAATGCAGAGAAGCAGAGATTTTTTCCTTCCATTATCCCTCCCCCAATTCCTCGCACCCCTGCAGCAATGGGTGTAGAACGATAGACATGATTGGTCATGCGGCCAGACACAGCCACAGCCACTGATGAAATGGCAGCTTATTCGTGGGGCCTCGGTAGGGTAGGGGGGGGAGGGATGGTGCCGATCTCCGCGGTAAGGAAAAAGGATTCGCTGCCTTTCTCAAACTGATTGTCCCTAAAAGTGGATTCCGATGACCCATGATGAATAATGCATTACCTGGCCGGGGTTGCGGCAGCCTGAGGTGTAAGTTTTGGGCCTAACGGACCACCGTACGCCGTACTATCCGTACACGCAACCCTACCCTACCAAGCCTCCGAATCCGAGGAAGGGCTTCGGCTCATACAGGCGGTTTTTTTCCACCCTCCATACTAAAACAGGACTAGTGGACAATCGGCCCCTCCGGCGCGCGCTTAGAGTTTTTCTGGTGTCTTTCTAGAATCCTGCTAAAATTGGGCCACGATGGCTGAATCGGGGTCCGTGCAGCTGAAAAATTAATTTCCTGCTGCAGTGGTGTGGTCTGCCCCCCCCCCTGAGAGCTGTCGCAGCAATCTCGCCAGTCCATTGGCTGGCTGCTCGGCCCAGACGGAGGAAAACCGTTTTGTATCTTGCATCGCCTATCACAGGTATAGATCAAACGAGCTACTGAGTACTCATACCTCCGAGGAACTTTTCTCTCAGCCAGCTAGCGACATGGGAAGGGAAAGAAAAAAAATTCTCTTCGTTAGCTCCAAGTAGATCCTTCAGCTGCCATCGCAGCAGAAAGCAGGATCTAAGCCCCTCTCTGTCTACCACGATGGTTTTTCCTAGCATCGAATCATCATTATGCGGTGCCGAGAAACGTTCTGTCGGATAGTCGCGGTTTCCCATTCCACGTCTCCGATAACAGGGTAGAAGCGTTTAGTTTTGAGAGTACGAGGCATTCTGCTCGAAAATACTTCATCCCGCGGATCCAGATTACCTGGGAAATAGTTTCCCTACGATTGTAGTTGTCCTTCCGCGAGCCAGTGTTTCTATCAAAGTCAATCGGTGGTCTCACGTAGTCGTTGGGTCATCATCGGCCCGGCGGATCAAGCACAAGACCCAGGCTCCTGGGAATCCTGGAGGGCACAGTCCGTGGCTCCCCCATCTTCGGCATCACGGCACGCGCTTCCTTGCCGATGTAGAGGGTTGCACAGAACTATTGCACTGTCCCCCTTCCCCAACATTTTTTCCGATATATTGTACAAGATACACAAGGGAAAATAAAATGGCATCTAGATCTATCTCAACTGAGAGGCTGAGAAATCTGTCGCTCGCAGACTACTGCCACTACTAGCGTAGTGTAGCTGATTTTGCGTTGTATATTGGGTAATTCATGGGGGCGGAGACGTTCTCGACCGACCATCCGACAGACCGACCGACCGATCGATTTCTAAGATGCTAGTCTCCTCCAACCTAGTAAGTACTAACAACTGCAGACATTGTCTTTCGATAGTCCATCCCTACCCAACGAGATGGGAAAGAATGTCTCAGGTGACACGACAAACAATGTCAGATATGATCCAGATTCCACTCAAATGTATCTGATCTCGATCACGATACCTCAACAATAAACTGAATCAGATCTCGTAATACACCTCGTAACCATGAGACAAAAATAGGGTGCAACGGAAGATTGTCCCCGATGGAGGAAGACTTTACCCCGCCAATTGTTCGGTCGGACTGGATCTCTTATCGTCCCTATCTCTGTATATTGTGCCTGCCTATGCTGCTGTCTCAAACAACGATCGCAATCAGATAAGTGAGTCTGTGGTGGTGGTTTTGGTTGTGGCGTTTGATAAACTTGTCATACTAGACCTACAGCGTACAGTATATAAAGGCTAAATCTAACGTTCCATCCAACCATCAGTAAGTGTTCTACGGAGTAGATATCAGCAAGCCCGACCGGAGTCTTCCCATTCTCACTCAGCTTTCTTTGAGGAGACCCGAACGCAGACCTGAACTGTATTAACGTTAGCACACATAACATACATTTTAGTACATACCTCAACCCATCCACCCACCCACTTACTCATGTACAGTACATACTCACGAGACCCTCCTCAACAAAACACCACACAAATCTAGACCTCCACACCATACCATGCAGCAAGGAAGTGCGCAGCGCAGCACATCCACCTGAATGCTCCGCGCAGAAATCAGAAATCAGATCATGCATCTAATCTACTGAGTGAAAGGGTCTGGACTCGAACCATTTTCCCGGCCGGTCGCGGTCGCGGTCTAGATTCCGGGGGGCCACGCCGGACGGACGGACCCTCTTCAAAATTCAAACATCTAGACCTTTTACTTACTGTTGATCGGTTAGCAAGTCGAGAGACACTCGCACGCAATCTATTTTCACAGTATGATCTAAAATTTCTCCACGGAGTAAGAATCTATCGAGACAAGGAATAGGATTTTGTTTTCTGTTCGCTTAGAAGGAGGAACTTAGTCGTCTGATCGTGACCCCTCGAGAAAACTACTAACCTAAGTGATGGATGGTACCGATTACGAGGCCGTAACTTACCGGCTACGTACTTAGCCAATGGACGGGGTGCTATTAATAGTATACAGTACGTACAGTACGTATGTGTGTGTCACGGGGATTTCCAACCCATACTAGCTACGGAGGATGTACCCGAGATATTATCTACAAGTTTTGTTGACTCACGTACTGTACAAGGATATTGCCATGCTGCAGCGCGGATTGTCTCAAACAAGATGGGTCTTAGTTATTACGAGTAGCTAGTTAGTTCGAAATTGAGGAGACTTATACGTAGCAAGGACACGTGTCGAAGATGCTGGTACTATCCCATCCAACTTCTTACCCCGCTTCCAGTTGTGGGTCGACTTGTGTCTCTGTCTCTCTAACAGTCTAACCCATGAGTGGACACTGTACTGTACACCCTGTATCACGCTAAGTCCAACCAGATTTGTCACGTTATATGTCTCGTGACCATCGTGAGAAGCGTAGGTGTCAACGTGACTCATGGCCTACTCGACACCATCTGGTACAGGTGGGCTAGTGCTGATGGGACAGATGGGCGCAGCAAGTTCCAAGGGAAAGAAGTTCATCCACAATAGTACGCAGTGGGATTGTTTAGCGTTGACCGGTGAGTAAGAAGAGAAGAAATGGCCAAGGACCATGTGACAGACTGGAATTGGTCATTGATCTATATTACTGTCATCTAGAGATAATCAAAACTGTATCTGTTTTGGTGGAAACCCATTCCGAACAAACAATGCAGGCTTTTTACTGTCGAGTGGGATCTATCTATCCCAACATATCCATGCTCGCGAGATGCATCAAATCTCCGGGGATAAGCGACGACTCGCCGCCCCCCCTTCCCAGTAGTTCGGAACTAAAGATAGAGTGCTTCATGCAGAATCGGTGCTGGGCGATCCAATCACGGCTTCCTATGATAAAGTGTCAGCCACAATGTACCTTTGATCTCAGCTCCGATGGCATTGTGATTAGAACATACCCTTGCATTTTGGTAGAGTGGCGAGATACCGGTCCAGTGTTGGAACTAAGCACGCAAAATTAAGTCAGCCACATAGCAAACAATTGGAAACAGGGATCCCTTGGGGTCAATCATACCTGGTACCAGCCTTGGCCAACAAGAACCTCCAGGCCGGGGACTGTGTGCCAACCGGCGTCGGACGCCAGCTGCATCAGGGTCGTCACAGAAGGCTTGTAGGCCATTTCGACGAGCACCCGGGGAACCTTCTCCATGGACTTGGCAATGTCGGCGTCAGCCTCCTGAGCACGTGTGAACATGTGGCACAGGATCTCGCGCATGCCAGCGTCGATGGGCTTGTCGGCGGGGATAGTGCCAATGGCCACCTTGGGGATCGTGTCTAGCGACTCGGCAGATTCCACAATGCGAATGTTGTAGCTAGTGGGGAAGGTGGACACCATGGTTTCGAGCTTGGCCGGAGACCGTCCGACAATGTAGATGGGGGAGAAGCCCATGTTGTGAATGGCGTAGATGGCCGCCCGAGCCGTACCTCCACCACCAATGACCACGGCACTAGCATCTCCGTTGGAGCCGTACACACCAGCGTTGCGAAGGGACAGCGTCATCCCCTGCCAATCCGTGTTGTAACCAATCAAACGAGCAGGCTCGTCTTGACCAGCGGAGACGGGCACAATAGTGTTCACTGCGCCGATGATCTCGGCGTCAGAGGAAATCTCGTCCAGCAATGGCATAATGTCCAGCTTCAGAGGGATCGTAACTGAGGCACCTCCGAAATCAGGAGAGCGGATGAAATCCTTGACGTCCTCAGCGTTGGACGTCTCCAGACGACCATACTCGTAAGGGAGACCCGTCTGAGCAAAAAGCGTATTGTGAAGAGCCGGAGATCGAGACTGAGAGATCGGAGTGCCAAAGAGTGCGAACTTCTTAGGCTTGAGCTCACCCATCAAGGATAGCCCTTTGCGAATTTCGGTCGCAGAGAGCTGGCCCGGAGCAGCCTTGAATGGGAGACTGGGGTGAGACACCGGAGTCATGAAACCGTTCAAGATACGGCTGAGTTGTCCATTGTCACCCATGTTGATGGCAATCACAGGAACATCATGTGCCTCTGCAGCCCACTGCTTGAATTTCCTCAAAGCAGTGTTGTCGTCCAGGGTCTTGGCAACACCAACAAGCTTGATCACGTCGCCGTATTCGAGCGCGCGGTTGTAGTACTTCATCCAGGACATGTTGCCCCATGCAAGCTCTCCTTTGGGGTCGTGGTGAGAGGCAATGATCTTGGAATAGCCCTTCGATTCCGTGACCGAGCGCAGCAAATCATCAGGAAAAGCGATCTCCAGGTCTACAAACTCGGTACCAGACCGGATTGCAAGACGGTAGAGCTCTCTCGCCTCATCGTAGGCGTTATCGGGGAAGCGACCACCTTGACTCTGGGTACGGATAGTGAAAATCAAAGGAAGTGAGGTCTGACTACGGAGGAACGACATCTGCTCGGCCACATAGTCGACCGAGGGGATCTCGTCGTCCGAGGCCGGGTCCTTCAGCAGATCAACACGTAGTTCTACTGCATCAGAGCCGACGCAGACTTCTTTCAGGATGTCGCTCGCCGATCGCAGATCAGGAAGAGTGAGAGAGACAAAGAATGAGTGCTCTTTACGCTTAATGATATCGAGACTGTCAATCTCCCCGGTAACGGTCTTCAAGAAACGTCTGAAATCTTCAGACGCCCGAGCGAGACCTCCAGTGCTCGCCGTCTGACTGAAGTACTGCAAGTTGCTGCACTCCTGGAACCAGGGCTTGCGACGCAACCACACACCCATCATATCTTCAACATAGGCCGGGCGGGTACGATCAATTTGAAGGAAGTCCATAACCTGCTTGATGTCACGCAGAATGAGCAGGACATTGCCCTTGGTCTTGTGGTAGTCAGTAAGCAACTTCCTAGCCTCTGGAATCTCGACAATGCCACCACCACACGCGAACACGTATCCGGTTGCGCGTTCTTTCAGGGTGCGCTGCAGAAGATTGAGCTCGGCGTCTCTGAAGCCCTGCCAGCCGCGTTGCTTGATAAGCTCGGGAATTGTCATGCCTTCCGTCTTCTCAAGCTCGGTATCCAGATCCACGAAAGGTCGGTTCAAAGTCTTCGCAACCCACTGTCCACTGGTAGTCTTACCAGCACCACGCATGCCGATGATGAAAACAGATGCGCTGGACTTCTCGGCTTGCGTGAGAGCCAAGACCTCTTCTTCCTTGAGCTCTTTACCCTCAAGCTTAACACCGAACAACTGCTTCAAGGCATCCCACCAGCCGGGCCAGGTCTTACCGACGCACTCACGCTCCAGGATCAGAGTCGACTGAGGGGTCACAAGAGAAAGGACACTGAAACTGTAAGCCACACGGTGGTCGTCATAACAGAAGATACCACCAGCAGGCTGGCGGAGAGTCGAACGGTCAATACCATCGATTTCAAGTCCATCATCATGCTCACGACAGACGACACCGAACTTGGCAAGTTCATCCTTCATGGCCTTGATGCGGTTGCATTCCTTCACACGTTGGTTTGCGATACCGTAGATGCGAGTGGTGTGGTTCGATCCCTCACCACGAGCAACGGCTGCCAGCACTGATGCTCCGAGGAACGCATCAGTCATGGGCTCCATGTCCACATTAGGCAATGGACGCAGAGCACCACCGGGAGCACCCGTGACAGTAGTCGAGGTATCAGTTTGCACAACAGTACAGCCCATCGGGCGCAAAACTTCCACTGCGAAGCGGGCGTCACCCTGTAGGGACTTCGAACCAATGTTGGGAACAGTGCAGGTGGTGCCAGTCAGGGCAGCAATGGCCAGAGGGTAGGTAGCAGAGCTAGCATCACTCTCCACCACATACTCATCAGGGTTGACATAACGTCCCTGAGGGATGTGGTAGGTGTGTTCCTCAGTGGTGGACTTCTGGACGTCAATGCCGAAGGATCTCATCATCGCGGTGGTCATATCAATGTAAGGCTGCGAGATGGGCTTTCCGCCCACCAGCTTAAGGGTAACCGGCTCCTTGGCGTAAGGGGCGCACATAAGCAACGAAGACACATATTGCGATGAAACCTTGGCAGCAAGGTTGATTCTGCCTCCAGCGAATCCACCAGAGGCGGCAATCTTAAGAGGCAGACTGCCCTTGCTCTCCACGTATTCAACGGACGCACCGTTGGCGGTCAAAGCATCAACCAAGTCGCCGATAGGTCTCTGCTTCATGCGGTTGTTACCCGTAAGAATGTTGTAGTCAACATCGCCAGGCGTAGCAAGGGTAGCGGCCGTAGTGAGGAAGCGCGAAGCCGTTCCCGCATTACCAAGGTAAAGCGGCGTAGAGGTCGCTTGGAGATCACCTCCCTTGCCGTTCACCACAAGAACCTCACCCTCCTCCTCCCAGGAGAAGGTACAAGCCCCCAGTCGCTCCAATGCGTTCAACATTACTTCAGTGTCGTCCGAGTGGAGCAGGTTCTTGATGCGACAGGTACCCGAACCGAGAGCAGCCAGGATCAATGCTCGGTTCGAGATACTCTTCGAGCCTGGGGGGGTACAGACAACATTTGAAGCTGGTGCGACACCGGGGTACACCTCGATACTCGGAGCAAGAACGACGCTGATGTCCTCGTTCGGAACAACGCTAGCCTTGGGCTCGTATGTGCGCCCGATAGCAGACAAAAGAACGACCTTCTTCTTGGGACCATCGTTCTTCTTGTCCAGGGCCATGTTGAAGAGAAGCTGCTCAACGGAGCAGTGCTTTCCAGCAGTAAGCTTCCGGATGCGCGCATCCTTCAGAGACGTAGGCAATCCGTAGGCGGTAAGGCACTTGACGATACGAGCGACCGCGACACCCTTCAAGATGCCAAGATGGCGGGCCAATTCAGCCTCCTTGACCATACCAATGGCGACACACTCACCGTGGAGGACCTGAGGGGTCAGGATAGCCTCGATGGCATGACCAATGGAGTGACCCCAGTTCAACAGATTGCGGAGACCACCCTCACGCTCGTCAGCGGACACGACATAGGCCTTGTGACGAGCAGACGCCAGAATACGAGCCTTCATGATATCTTCGATTCCCTGGAAGCGACGCTGGCCAGGTTTGACCTCCTGACGAACAGCAGAGAGAATCACTTCTGCGTTGGCTTCCAGCGCAGTGAATTCTTCCTCACTCGAGATTGCTGCCGTCTTGATCACTTCCGCCATGCCATTGATGAACTCGCGCACAGGGAGGGTCTCCAAAAATTCGAGGTCAACGTAAATCCTGGTCGGTTGCCAGATCGTGCCAATCAAGTTCTTTCCCAGCGGTGTATCGATCGCAGTCTTCCCACCGATGGAGGAATCCACCATGGCGAGCAATGTCGTGGGTACTTGTACATAACGGACCCCGCGCATGTAGGTGGAAGCGACAAATCCAGTCAGGTCTCCAATGACACCTCCGCCAAGAGCAATGACTACTGTATCCCGGCCACATGGTGGGCTCTGGCTCAACATCCAGTCCTCGATGGCGGCTTTCGTCTGTCTGGATTTAGACACTTCACCGGGGGCGACCTGGTAGATCAACAGACGCGGGGAGGGAGTAACGGTAGCAGCGACAGCATCGAAAGCTTTTTGAAACTCTGGAGTGTAGATAGAACCAATATTCGTATCTGTGATGAGAACATAGGTGGTGGAGGAGCAATTGCTGACCAGGTCTTGCGCGACATAGTTGCGCCAGAGGCCAAAGTCAGCAATGATGCTCTCCTGACCGAGAATGCTGATTTTCGTTGGTTCGGGCATTTTGAGGACTGCTAGGAATACAAGTCAATGTTGATTCGAGAGAACAGACTGTATTTGTGCTCAATTCATGCTGTGGAAATAGAATTGCAAATGCACCTCAGGCGCAGGTCCGACGCGGACTTGACCGATGGCGACTTTTCTCGTGGGCGAGAAGGTAAGATGCAATCGGAGAGACGAGAAACAGAGGCGCTTGAGCCGGATGAATTGAGACGAAGGAGCAGCGAGAAGATAGAAGAGAAGGAAATAGAGAGCGAGGGAAAAAGACTTTGATCGTACGTACCTCTCGAGCCCAATGACTCCGGCAAAGCGGACAAATTCCCCTCGGCGGCGGGGCTCGGCGGAGAGAGACCGAAGAAGGCGGGATGGAGGGGATGGAAGAGACAGCGGACACAAGAGAATGGAAAAGATAAGATGGAGGAATTGGAGAGAAGAAGGAAAAGGGAACTTCTACCAAGAAACCGGAAGGAATAATAGGGAACTGGAATGAGGAGACGGGGGAAGTCTGCAGCTCCACCCAATCCAGACACGGTAGAATTGAATGACTGACTGACTCACAGTGCACTGTGGTGTGTGCCATACACTTACCTCTATTACACAGAGAAAAGGAAAGAAAAAGGTGACCGCCTCCGATGTCGTCCTGCCGTCCTGCCGTCCGCCGTCCCTCCATCGCTACCGGGCACTAAAACTACGTACCGGTAGTCAATCTAGTTTAGTGCAGCGCAAATGCCTTGGCTCTCTTCCCACTACAGCATTCTCTGGCTGCACTACTCAGAGTACACTCAACTCATCCTTTGGCCCAAATGCTCATTGTCCGCACTGACTGTGTGCTGTACACAGTACTACTCGTACTGTACCAGCCCACGAACCCACGAGCCCCCACAATTCAGCTGAACGCAAGCTGATTGCCTTTCACAGCTGCCGTAAGTGGGTATAGTTTCGAACTACGATCGTCAACCAGATGAGCTCAAGTCGATCGGGTCCTAGAGAGAGTGGAGAGAATCTTAGCCCAGAATTGCTCGGATCTACATCATTGCTCGTTTGTCCCGGTTTCTAACCACAGAGTAAATTCATGATAGGAGGTCACCAGCTGAATGTTGTCCCTTTCAACGCCTGTCCCAAGTGCCCCAGTTCTTTCAATCCCATAATAGTTCTTACTTCGCATAGTTGCAACCGCAGCAGGGAACTGTTCATGCAAATGGAGAAAACCGCAACCAAACGACCAAAACGACCCAAAAAAAAAAAAAAAACCAAACAAACAAAACCCCCCACCAAGGGTCATACATAACATAAACTAGATCAGGTACGATCGGCACCTGAGACACAAACCCGAGCGGATCTGACCATGGCCGTGAAACACTAATAGCGACCGTATCCACCACCAGAGCCTCGCGAAGAGTAATGGTCCCGGCCTTGATACCCTCCCCGGCCATACCCACCATTACCACCGCCGCCGCCATGTCTACCCTGGTACTGATTACCGGAGTTATTACCATAGGACCCTTGCTGATAGTAACCCTGCTGG